TTTCACAGGGCAGAAACAGCTGAGCTGATGAACAGGCACAGTCCTTTTGAAGAATGGGTTGATCCTACAACAACACGCTTTCCTAAGGATGATGACAACTCACACCACCCCTAGAACGGCTGGTATGAACTGAGTTTCCACACAGTCTGGCCGGCATTGCAGTCAGGAGATATTTAGCTACTTCATATGTTTTGATCACTGGTAAATCTTAAGGTACTTTGTGTTCTCTTGTGTGAATTCTCTCTCTAGGTATCTCTTCTGACCATTTGTTTCCATTTTTGTGTTAATTGGGTCTAAACGTTGTACAAAGATTTAAAACAAAACACCCCAGCGGGGCTTTCCCAAGAGGCTGGTGTGGGTTTCTGAACTCACTCACAGGTGGGTATTTTTTCTAGAGCCAATTTCCTGGTTTCTTCCACCTCTGACAGCCGCCTCTCCCTTTCTGCTCACTCACATTCTTTCATTCTCAGTTTCCTGAGTCGAGAAGGGAGAGAGATGCATGCACATGATCCACTGACCTGTGTGGGATTCCTTCTTCCCTTCCGGCATCTGAAGGCCGTGATTCAAAGGTCCCCTGACAACCTTCCCATAAATGAACCAAGTGATCGTCACAACTGGAGGGAGAATTAACACCTTCCATGGAGGGACAAAGAAAAAGCACACTCTGGCCTACTGGCAAGTCACCTGTCATTTCCAGCTCATCTTCATCGCTCTGTATTCCTACTCTTTAGTAAATATGAACTATTAAAAGCTTCTATGAGATGCGCTATGTGTGCTTCTAGGGTCAGTCTTATGCCTGACATAGCGAAAGCTCATTTTAGTTCAGTGTGGAAAACCAGACCTCACCAACTCATCACAACTAAACCCGTAAGGACAGAGCAGGGGATCGCTCCTCGTCTGACTCCTCCCATAGGGAGACCTGATTCTCCATCAGAAGCTGATGCCAGAACCCAGACAATCAGCCTCAGAGAGATCCGTCCAGGACATGCTGTCCTTAGCCCTGCGGTTCACTGCTGCACATGTCCATGATTCAGGACTGGAACTCTTCTCATGGACTTTAAAGATCCTGGTTGAGAGAAAAGGCCAATCTGAGTGCTGGGTGCATCTACTGAATTGGAAATGATCGAATGACTCTTTAGTCAGGGTGTCCTGAAAATAGATGACAAACTGCAAACTATCCTCTGGTGTCGAGTGACTTTAACAAGGTTTGGTTCACAGAGAGTGAGGGCAGAAAAAGGAAATGGCTGAAAAGGTAGGTTTGCTGTGTTGCCCTCACACTACTTGATTCATGGTTCTGATTCTAAAAATCTCACTTGATACTTGATTTCATATGAAGGAGTGTAGAATGCCAAGAACTCTAGGAAACGGGGGCAAAAACACATCAAAGAGAAAGTTCATGCACCTGTTTCTGAGCACCCAGGGCACCCTTCAGCACATGCTGTCTGGAGTGGCCTGAAGCAAGGATGTGTTGTGAGGTGCAGAGGATGCAATGGGAGCAGGGTCCCATCCCCACCCTAAAGGAGCTCACAGTTTAATGCAAATAAGAAGCCAGTGAGGACATCACTACTCCTGCTGTGCACTTGGGAACTGGAAACACAATACCTGAGTCTGGAGGGAAGCTAAAGAAGCATTCTATTCTGGAGCAGACATGAGTGCGTGTGAAGCTTCTGATCTCCCATGAGAACAATGGGGACGTGGAGCAGAATCTAAAACCCATGACTGAAAGCATCAAATTGCTAACATGGCAGTAAAGAGACATGAGGCCAAGATGGAGAAGAAGGAAACCCAGGACGAAGGTCAACCTCACATTTGGGGCTCATTTCTCTGAGTTTCATCACTGAATTCCAGAAGGGACTAACTGAGATGCAAAGAAGCAAAGCAGCTTTTGCACCATGTGGAGGATTGAAAAAAAGCAGATTGAGGGTCTGTCAGTGAAGGTGATCCCTACTGAAGTCCACTGGTTCTGGATGGGACCCGGAAGAGTCACATGCCAGGAAAAGAGGTGGACAGGAAATACCCTGACCTTTGCAGGGACTGAACCTGCACTGATAACCTCAATTGCTGCCGGTATAGAGGGTGTGTAGGTGTGCTAGGACCCCTGACCATCCCCCAGAAATAAATGCCCATCTTTTCTGCAGCAAGATAACATGCTAGTAGGCCTCAATTCATTGCTAAATATTTTTAACCAGTGACATGACAAAAAAGACTAGTCATGTGGCAGAAAAAATGCAATGTCATATGACCAAAAGCCAAAAGGCTGTGAAAATGAATCCAGGGGTGACGCAAGCATTGAATTTAACAAGGCCAGTACTTGGACCACCTCCTCCCACTGAAACATTACAATCAAGTATGTAGGAAGGGAAAGGAAACACGAAAATTAATCAAGCAGGAAGGACAAGCTCAATTTTGCACCCACTGAATTTGCCACAAATATTGTGGAAAATATTCTCAAGGCCATTGCAGTTGTCTACTTTGGTTGGTACATGGTTCATACAACAGTATTTGTGTCGGTGAACATCTTACTCTTCCTCAACAGTCTTTCTTTGCCCAAAGATTTCGCAATGACTGTTGACCTTCATCGTCACCTCTTGGACTTCAGCTTGCACTTTAGCTTCCATAGATCTCCATGACATGGAAAAGTACGGTTAGTGTGTAGAGAGGAGAAGGGGAGAAACCTGAGGGCCAGAAGCTGTTCTTTCCCTTAACAGGGCAAATTTATGTCCACACTATGGGGACTCCCACAGATAGCATACCTTCCTGGCTACGGCTGTTGGACCTCCAGGCTTTCCCCTGTCAATCCATGGATCTGTCATTGACATTTCATGACTTTAAGACAGACTTGAGAAAAGATATCTAGGAAACAATAATGGAACAAGGATGTGAATATACTTCACACAACCGAACTGTACATTTCAACAAGGTTAAGATGGTAATTATCATGTTATACATATTTTACCACAAGTTAAAATGTTTCACAATTTGAAAAGAAAGCAACTACCTTCCCTTCAGTTCTCTGAGTTCTAGAATTCCTAACATTTCACTCCCTGCTCCTTCCTGATCTTCTGCAGAGCATCTACTCAGAGTCCCTGCTCTGCTCAGAGTCCACTTTCCCCTCCCTGACACCAGCTTCACTGAGGCTGGTTGGAACCTAACGCAAAACATTCTCAGTAATGCCTCAATTCCCACAAAGAATTCCATATAGACAGCGTATGAGTTGAATCTTCTAAGACATGAAATATTTTTTCTCTTCTTGGCTAATATGCAACGCAAATCCTGTTGCAGATGTGCGTCATATACCTCTGAAATTCCTGATGTATTCAATGAAATAACATCTTTAAAGTTCTTTA